GTACTTCATGCTGCTCTTTTGTGGTCATCATCCTGCTGCAGAACCACTTTTGGACCAATCACACGCCTCACTGACAGCATTGCTTGAACAAAAAGCTCTCCATCTTAATATACCAATGATTTTGCACAGCTGTGTTACCTATATTGTGTTTTGTGAATGAGCAGCACTATTTCATAAGTTAACTTGTATTTTTATTTTATTTTTGTGCATATTATTGATAGAGAACTGCACTTAATGGTAAATGTGATTTAGCTTCAGTTTTGCCACCGGCTTCTGGTGCCTTTGCAGCAGCCACAATCCAAAGACATACCTTGGCTCCAAATACCTTCTTGAAGTAGCTTATGCATTTTTTGGTTTATTCTGCCATAAAGATAACATACTGGTATGCTTGTGCTAAAAATATCAGTTAGTGCATCGTAAGTCTTAATAACCATCAATCTTTTAAAATGTTCTCGGGTTAAAACCCTGGACTTCAATCAATCGTTTTGAAATTGGACACATATTGGAGAAGTGCAGGTCTGCCAATACATCCCAGTCCACTTAAATCAACGGGCCAAGCGATGACGGCGTCGATCAGAGAAGCAGCTATACGAGGTCTGTGGCAGCTTCTGAAGGAGCTGCAGACATCCACATCTCACGTTTGAAATCCACATGACATGGCAGCTGTTGGTCACACAAACCACAAAGCTGGCTTAAGAGGAAGATTAAAGATAAAAGCTGTTGTTGGAAAGAAAGCCGTGAGAGGTTCCGGCAGTTTGTTGCAGTTTTTCGGCAACCCACATAAGGGACACAGGAAACGTGTGAAGTAAAGGTGCTCTGGTCATGTGGGGCAATTTGTCCCACATGCAAACGGCTGTGTGATGAAAACCACTGCTGGCGGTGGCACCGTCATGCTGTGGGGGTTCCCTTTATTTCAGGTGGAAAAGAGAAGCTGGTTGGTGTTGGTGGTAAGATGGATGGAGGGGGATTATGGATGATCAGATTGACAACCTACAGCAAAATCTACAATGGCTACTAAACAAGTCATCAAACATATTTGTTTGTGTTAGAAAGGTCCAGTCAAAGTCCAGATCTAAATCTAATTAGAAATCTCTGGCAGAAGATAGTTTTCCACAGACGGTCTCCATCTGAGCCTGAGACAAATTTTTTGGCACCAATTTTTTGGGGTTTTTAACTTCCTCTCACTTTGAAGTTATGCTCCACTTTAATTTGGACATAAAAAAATGTTGAAGGAGTGTGAATCAAGGTTAGTGTGGTTTACTGAAATTAAGAAAATAACACAAACTGAAATCGAGACATTTTTGTTAGCTGAAATCAATAAAAATGGTAATTAATAGAAAAAATTTACAACTAGCCTGAATTGTGGGTTTTTAAACTGAAACATACTGAAACTGTTGACATAATATCCTTTGTTCTTTGCGTTTATGAATCTGTTTGTTAGCCTTCTTAAATGATGTGAAATAGATTTTTTTTTCCTCCACAAAATAAGCAGTTTACATCAGCTGTTGGCAAATTACGGCACTCCTTAATCGTCCTGGCGCCACTTACTCTAGTCCGCAAAATGGCGATGGTAAACGTTTGGAGAAAACTCCAGAGTCAGTAGGTTGTTCAACAATAACTGGATACATTTTTTATGTTGTGCATCCACTACCCAATCGATGTACATGCATAATCACAACACTTTAGACCTTTTTTAAACTCTG